GTCAGTGTAGGTTCAGTTCAATTTCAGATAGCTCCTCTTTCCAGCTTACACTTCTCGATATCTATAGGCCCCTTCCGGTGTAGTCGGTGTTACCTTCAGGGATTTTAATCTGTTGCACTGGTCCTTTCTGAAGCGGTTCCCTTTGTTTACTTGGCTTCTGTTTGCCGTCCCTTCGGTGTCTAATTTCCGCCCTGACACAGGCGGGCGGAGGTGGTCTCTCTAGTTCAGTTCAGTCCTGCTATGGGGAGGGCGGGGTGGTGCAGACAGATATCGCTGTGTGTGGATAGCACTCAGCGTGTTCCGGCCACACTGGGTTTGCCCCGCTCATGGGTGTCTGTGCTTTCGCCGTCTACACTGCTCAGGCTCCCGGCTGCTCTGCGTGGAGCGGGCCCTGCGTTGAGTGCGGTTTCAGTTTTCGGGTACTCCACAAAAGCGCGGATTCGGTTGCGCCTGCGTTTTGTGCCTTCCCCGGCCTGAGCGGCTCAGGCAGCCAGAGGCTTGGGCGCACTCTCCCCGGATGCGGCGCGCCTGGGAGGCAGTTCTTAACCACTGGACCATCAGGGAGGACCCACACCCTGAGCTCTGATCTGCAGCAGCTCCTGAAGACTGAGGCAAACTGGGTTTCCATAGCACCACTATGTGTAGTCACCTAGGAGATAGCCCTCTTTCCCTTGCATTGAATAACAGAACCAGTTTTTATCTGGGTACCTTGCTGCCAGCTAAAATACCACATATCCCTTCTTCCCTTGAAGTTTCATGCAGGCCGGTGTTTTATAGTTTTATAGTTCCTTCATGAACTATTTCTAAAGTGTGCTTCTTTAGCTCCTTTTTTTCATCTTGCTGTTTGGCCTAAGGAGGCTGGACTGGATAATGGTCCAAACAGCCACCTTGGACCATTCAGAGAGAGTTGTACAGCAATGCAGAGATTATGGGAGGTGAAAAGTTTAGGTACATTTTTATATTAGCATTTGGGTCACATGCAGCCAAACTTACTTCTCATATGCTCTGTAAAGCCTGGTTCACTTCTGCTAATCCAAGAACTGTGAACTTAGTTCATTCCCAAACCATAAGAAAATGACATGCAGCAGAACCCTGAGTCTACTGTGTGTGTTCTGAAAGATCATGCATAGATCAGACTCTTTGAAACAAAGACCAGAAAAATACTGACCTAAAACCAGGACCCCAAGCATTACACTACTCTGACCTCGCCCAGTCCCGTTTCCATGGTCATGTCTGATTTTAGGCCACATTACTTATCTTTCAGATTACTTGAAAGGTCTCTTGTCCAGTTTCTGCTTGTTCAGTTCTCCCTAATATATACTACCAATGGAGTTATCTTTTCAAGTATTGATTTTTGAATGTCCTACTGTTTGCTAAAAGTGTAATTTTTTTCCATTGCTATCTAATGTTTTTCAAGCTAGTTATCCAGGAAGGCAACACATGCTCTCAAATCAAGCTTTCTTTGGCTTGTTCCTGTCTATTCTTCCATGTGCCACCTGTACTTCATCAGAATATCTGGTTATTTCTATGATGAGCACAGCAATGATTCAGCTCCTGCACATAGCCTTGTCCATATTATTCCTGATATTTGCAAAGCTTTCTCACACCATTTGTCAGGGGTTTCATTCTACCCATCCTTAAAGACTCTGCTCTAATACTATCTCTTATTTGATACTTTCTTTGGTAATAATAATGCCTTTTAAATTATGGGTATAGTAGTTTAATAATAATAATGACTAAATTTTAAGGAACTACTGCTTGCATGCTAAGTTACTTCAGTTGTGTCCAGCTCTTTGAGACACTATGAACCAGAGCTCACCAGCCTCCTCTGTCCATAGGATTCTCCAGACATGAACACTGGAGTGGGTTGCCATGTCCTACCCCAAGGGATTTTCCTGACCCAGGGATTGAACCAGCGTCTCTTATGTCTCCTGCGTTGGCAAGTGGGTTCTTTACCACTAGTGCCACCTGGGAAGCCCAAGGAACAACTATTAACATGTAAATAGTCTGAAAGTTTAGAGTACTTGCAAGCTAAAAATTTAACCTGACAGTTTATTTATGTCTGTTTTTCTGTCTATCTGTGCATACATAAACACATCCACCAACCGTATGTGTCTGGGTCAGAGACAAAGGCCATTTATTACACACAACAAAGCAGCAGCAACAGCAATATTTTGCACGGATTCCTTAAGGCTCCAGTTCCCACAGGGTGATGTTGTGAGTGCCAGATGTTGCTTGTGCATCAAAGGAAAGGAACTCCAAAATTAGGAAACTCTGATCGTATATAGGGCTGCTGGTGACACGCCCATTCTCTGCTCTAGAAAGGAAGAGACATCACTGAGCTAAATTGTAAGCAAATGTTCCCAGGAGAAGAGGGTAGAAGCAGCTTTAGGATGATTACCCTGGAGTGGAAGGGAAAGGAAGTTCTTTACCTTTATTGTCCCAGGATGTCTTCAGGGAGGGGATGTATTCAGCTTTACTTTCCTGAAATATCTCCTTATACAAACATTGGCTATAAATGCCTTTTCTCAGAGGGCTTGAAATATAGGATGATCATGGAGAATTGTCTTCCTCCAACTACGTGTCAGGCACATCATCTACAGTATCTCCAATCCTAGCTGTAACTGTGTAATGTAGATATTACTATTCCAGTTTTGAAGACAAAGAGGAAAAGTTAAAATCACATGCCCAAAGCTACAAAGTTACCAGTATTAGAGTCAGGACTCACTATGGTCATTGGATGTTAAAGTCAAAACTCTTTTCATCACAAAAATCAATAGTACATCTTCCACTGAAAGCAGCCTCATGAAGCTTAATGTGAGTTTATTTTATGGTGTATATTTTCTATTTTTTCTATTCTCATGTAAGCGTCTTGAGGGCAGAGTCATGCTTATATCCTCCACCATGCCTAATAAAGTGAATACCATGTGATTATTGGATGCTTTATAAAGATGGTCTGAATGAAGAAAATCTGTCAAAATATGTATGATGAAAACTTGACATTATACCTCCTAAATAATGTATGATTGTGGAAAAGAGGTCACAGCATAAAATTCAAATATAGCAACCTCTTGCTTGAAATATTAATAATCTCAACTATTTTTTACTTGGCTGACAATTTAGCTTGGATATTGATGAAAATTTGATGTCTAAAGTTTAGAGAAAGTAACTAAGAGTTGATAATAATCAATGAGGAGGAATATATAGAAGCATCGCATGTGTCAACTCACACGAGAACTGATGTTTGAATATAGGATATGTTGAAAAATGAAAAATTAGTTTTATTTTAGAACTAAACCTCTTCCATTCTAACCAAAAATATGCTCAATGCTGAAGAGTAAAAATCAGTGGTTGACTTACAGATTTTTTTCCCCTTTCAATCTTGTTCTTGGGCAAAAAGTCTTTTTCTTATTACTGTTTATTCTAAAGCACTTATCTTCTATTTACATAGTCCATCTTCTATTTCCATAATTTATATCCCTGGGATATGTGTTTAGGTCTTCTTGTCTGAAACCAGGCTGTTCCACTATTCAGAACTTAACGAGCTTCTTAAACAGAAACATTAGGGGCTGTTAAACACCTATTGCAACCCTTAGCCCCGACTTTGTCATATAAATACTCCATTCAGATTATTCAGTAGAATAAATATATTGGGTTGTATTTCCCCCTTTGGGTCAGTAGTCACTGCTTTCTTTTCCTCCTTATGTCAAGTCATAAGTTTTTGAGGCTGTTCTTGCATTTCTACTAAATACTTGCTTGAATATGTGCCACTTCATGAGATAAGAAAACTCTATTCCCAACATATATGGAAAGAACAAACTATATTTACATAATATTTTCATAAATATTAAAAGCAATGTTTTAAAATAAAGAAGATATTTTTACCTTTCCTCAAAAAGATATAACAAGAAAATAGAAATGCAAGTACTCATGCGTGGGAGGAAGGTGATGTTTCATTATACTTTAAACTACTTTGGCAGTTGTTTTCCTTACATATATGCAGGATATTAAAGTGTTAGCTGTGTGTGTGTGATTTATTGTGAAGCCTCTTTGCCCAAAAAAGCCCTGCTATTTTAGTAGAGTTCAATATATTTCCTTTGGGGGAGATTAAATAAAATATGTTAACTCAGTTAAATTTGGAGTCTGATGACAAATGACTAAATGTGTTCAAATGAGGCAGGCACAGGAAATCTGTCCAGCAAAGGACTAAACTGGGAAATAATGTTTGAGTGTCCACTGGCACAGTTTTGCAATGTGTTGCTCTAGAGTTCGGTATTACAGTACACCATTAATTTTAAGTAGTAAATTAAACAAGAGAAATAAGATTCCTTTATTCTGGCACATGCACACAACTCAGCTCTTGAGCTGTACACTAAAATTCAAATGTACACATAAAGATAAAATTAGGATGGAAAATTAGGATGGGAAAGTGGAACACGTTTTAGTTTTTATTTTAGTGTATGATATTTAAAAAAGAGAAGGATGTCTCAACCCCAAATTGCATGTCGAACTACATTCAGGAAGTACTGTTATTATATTCTGATACTGAAACTAAAGTATCCTGGAGGTAGGAATGCTGTGAATTTTACATCAATTATTTTCTATAAGGAGCAATTGTAAAGATAGGCTTAGGAATTAACTTGGGTCCAATCAAGTTCATGCCAGTTGACTTGGTAGATAAAGCTAGGAAAATAAGGGCTGAGGCATAATTGTTAAGTGTTTTGCTTAAGATCAAAACTGGAGTTGATGGCAATTGGACATCCCAACTATACATGCTTCTGAAAGTAAAATTTCAGAATTAAGATAATCTTAATAATTTCACAATGACTTATGCAATTCTATGTTGTGAATTTCAAACCTTAGAGAAACATATACAGATAGCAACAGAGACCTGGAGAATACTACTTATGCCCTAACATTTTCCTTTTAGTTAACTCTTGATGCTCAGAGCTATACTCTTTAGGAAATTCGATGCTCAAACAGAGCTATACTCTTTAGTAAATACCCAGACCACCCCTTTCATCCTCAGAATAGAAACTGGGTTCCATTGCTATGTCTGTTTATAGAATAACCTCAAGGGCAATCCGTATGTCCAGCCCCTCATCCTCATTAAAGAGAGAATCAAACTTAATGAGAACAAAAAGCTGTTAATAGTAAAGTAGTATAACAAAATGGTTTATCTCAGTTTTTCTTACATTTCCTATGAAGCCTAGTCTGCTTTCCAATGCCATAAAGCTCAACAGATTATCATCTTATAAGATCAATCTTTTCTTCTATACCATCCAAAATGTATCTTTGGTATGATGTTTTCTATGGAAGATAAAAGAGAAGGTATTCACATTATCAAATCATAATGATCTGCCTTTTTTTTTTCCAGTAAACCTATATGTATAAACTCATTTCTGGTGTCTAAAAGAGTTACAGCCCACCACTGAGGACAGGTCATTGAATTAAGGATGGATAGGATTTCTCTGACAATTGGAATTTAATTTCACATCATGAACAAAAAGGATTTTAAAAGTTGATATTTTAAGTGATGATGAGTTAGCAATATTTTAAAATGATGCTTGCATTACCTTGAAGAAATGACCTATTTTTAAAAAATATATGACACTACAGAAAATGTAAAATAAACCTGTACATATGAGACCCTGCATGAGCAGAGATGGGAGCTAAAAAAATGGGAAAGTAAAACATAAGACTTCATAACAACAACAACAAAAAATAGGGCCTGGAAAAATATCTTCCACCAGAGAGAAAATAAACTATTTAAACTATTCTTAGAGTGTTATGCAAAATGGGATATGTAATTGTAGTTTAGTTTGAAAGATTCTCTAGGTCTTTGAAACTGTTCTGATCCCATTTTTCTGTCTTGACACCAGTGCACTGCCAACCAGCCACTCACATGAAGCATTAGTAGCATGAGATACCATCACCTGTGGTGCTGTGTTGAACCTCTGTCGATTTTGATCAATTTTAAGTGTAAATGATTGAATAGCTTAAAAATGAGTAGCTTTTAGAGAACTATTATAGGTGAGTAGAACTGCACTTAGAAGATCACAAGATGGGGGTAGGTTAATGTGTCTGGCAGTCTAATTGTTATCGGAAAAAATAATCTTGAGCCTAACAGCCATGGAGAATTAGGCAGCAGGACTTTGACAGATAGGCATCAGATCTCTTTGAACTAAGTGTTTTTGCTTTTATCTCTGTCTATTCATGGTAACTTCAGAGGAAGCTGGATGACTCTGACCCAATTTAGTAGAAAGTTCAAGGTGTACTTCAATGTCAATTAATGTGTTAGTTTACCACCTTGATTGAAAAAAGTTTGGATGATTTGGGCCTATTTTAAAAAATTATTTTTTCTATCTTTTTGTATCAAAGAAAATAGCTAGGACCTTTCATATTTCCTTCCTTGATATAACTGTTGATTGATAGCAATTCTTGGTTTAATTTTCCATGGAGGCAATTTGTTTCAGATAATGTCTACATTTTGTAATGTGTGCTTCAGTCGTGGCTGACCAGCTCTTTGAGACCCTACAGACTGTAGTCTGTCTTCACTTCAGTCGTGTGACGGGCTCTTTGACACCCTTATGGACTGCAGTCCGTCGGGCTCCTCTGTCCATGGAATTCTCTGGGCAACAATACAGGAGGGGGTTACCATTTCCTTCTCCAGGGGATCTTCCTGACCCAGGAATCGAACCTGTGTATCCTGCATTGGCAGGCGGATTCTTTACCACTAGTGCCACCTGGAAAGACCCTTCAACATAAATAACAGTGGTGAAACTTATTCTCTTTTTAAATTAAATAATGTCTAGAAAAATATTTTCTGTAGTAGATAAAATGGAACCATGTCAATCTCTAAGCTCTCAGTTCAGTTCAGTTCAGTCGCTCAGTCTTGTCCGACTCCTTGCAACCCCATGAACTGCAGCATGCCAGGCCTCCTTGTCCATCACCAACTCCTGGAGTCCACCCAAACCCATGTCCATTGAGTTGGGGATGCCATCCAACCATCTTTTCCTCTTTCATCCCCTTCTCCTCCTGCCCTCAATCTTTCCCAGCATCAGGGTCTTTTCCAGTGAGTCAGCTCTTCGCATCAGGTGACCAAAGTATTGGAGTTTCAGCTTCAACATCAGTCCTTCCAATGAACACCCAGGACTGATCTCCTTTAGGATGGACTGGTTGGATCTCCTTGCAGTCCAAGGGACTCTCAAGAGTCTTCTCCAACACCACAGTTCAAAAGCATCAATTCTTCAGTGCTCAGCTTTCTTTATAGTCCAACTCTCACATCCATACATGACCACTGGAAAAACCATAGCCTTGACTAGACAGACCTTTGTTGGCAAAGTAATGTCTCTGCTTTTTAATATGCTATCTAGGTTGGTTATAACTTTCCTTCCAAGGAGTAAGCATCTTTTAATTTCATGGCTGCAATGACCGTCTGCAGTGATTTTGGAGCCCAGAAAAACAAAGTCAACCACTGTTTCCACTATTTCCCCATCCATTTGCCATGAAGTGATGGGACCAGGTGCCATGAAAGTTCTAGCAACAAGCTAAGTTTGCTGAGACACCTGGTAGAACCTGAATCTTTTATAACCTACAGCTTGCAAATTCTGTGCTCTACCCATGTCTACCAATACATCCACAACATTTTCAGGAAATACACTATCCTAAAATACTACCCAGGAGATATCTTAGATGTACCACGAAGCAGGTCTAGTCAGTTCCTAAGCAGTATCATTCCATTTTCCTCCTCTTCTACTCAGTTCTCCTGCACTCTTAGAAAGTCTGTGCTTCTAAGACCCATTGACATGGCCTATCGCTCAATTCTCTGGAGTTGTCCATGTGTAAAGGCAGGTTGTATTCTAAGCAGTGGTTTGGAGAATCAGTTCCAACAACCTAGTGTTTCATATGTCCACAATGGGCATTTTCAAAATAACTCTTAAAAAATGATAGACCCTCCCCTTCAAACATTTCCAAGGCTCCGACTACTCCATTAAGTTGAACTTGGGCTGGGACTTATGGTTTAAGGTGATGCAGTGGTAAAGAATCCATTTACCAAGGCAGGAGACACGTGCTCAGTTCCTGGGTTGGGATGATCCCCTGGAGATGGAAATGGCAACCCACTCCAGTATTCTTACCTGGAGAATTCCATGAACACAGGAACCTGATGAGCTACAATCTATGGGGCCACCAAGAGTCGGACACAACTGAGCATACATGCGCACACACAACAAATGTCCCTAGGAACTGCTCTCCCCACTGCTAATTAGGCTTTCTTACTGGACCACGTTGGTCTGCAGGGTTTTCTGTTACCATAGAATCATCTTCCAGGAAACTGTTCAGTCTCTCTAGCTGGTAGCCTTAAGTTAGGCTTAAATGCAGCTGTTTCAAAGCAGTAGCTTGTTAAGGTTGAGGCCATTTGCTTATCATCTCCATTATTTATAGATGAAAATCCTCTGGAGGATAATAAGAACTATTTTGGTGAAGATTGTTAGTAAATCTTCTCAGTTATCCTCTGGAGACTGGTAACCGCTGAAGGCAGAATTCGATTCTGGAGGTAGCTTAAGATGGATGTTGTTGCAGGTTTCCCAATGAGCTAGCACATGCATTATTATTTTGGTTGTTATTGCTGTTATTGACTCTCTTGGGGCAGTCATTCTCTGGAAATGTATTAGTGAAACACAAACACCCCATGTGAGTAGCCACATATCAAAATACATGTATATTTTAAGATGCATGGAGATTTTCTCTGAACTAGGGAAATGCTGTGTCTATGCTCTTCTGTCAGAATTCCATGGCTTAACATTCATTTGGTGTCTGTAGAAACGTTCCCAAGATCTCATGAGCTTTTCAATACTCCACAGCCTCTTCGGTAATGATAGGGAAGCAGAAAGGGCTACCCTGTAGTTTAGTGAATCTCCCATCAGCCTTGGTGTGTGCAAGCAACAGCTTCATAGTCAGAAGCCCCCATCCAATGAGGAGCTGTATGTCTGATCCACTCTTCTTTCTTGGATGGACCCAGGACACACCTCCCTTCTCTGACTCTGTCTGACTCCACAGGCAGTAATTCTTTTAGCGTCAAGCCAGTGCCAGGACTCTGGTATCAGCTTCCTGAATCTCTATAGTCTGTGATTACTAAAATATCATTGAAATTTGGACACAAAACTGAGGATAGTCAATGTAATATATGTGTTATATTGAAGACATGTCTCTTTTTGCTTTCGCAAGCAAGTATCACAAGAAGAGTGTGTTGTTCCTACAGACCTAATAAATCAAGAAGTTAAAATAGTTCACCCAGAAGGTAACTCCATCTCCTAAGGGCACAGCTGGAAAAAGCAAAGAAGAAATCTCCATAAATGGTATTTCCCCTGCACTTCAGCATCTTGCTCTTAAAATGTGTCTCTTAGATATTTTATACCATTTCAGGCAAGCAAAATACTATACTCTCTTCAAAAGAATAAGATAACCTTTTCTCAAAGAAAAGGAACTCATTTCAAAATATTTTTTTCTAATTGTTGAAATAATAGATGTTTATTGTGGAAATAAAAAAGTTATATAAAGTAGGAAAATAATGTCCTATAATCCCATCAGTGAGTATTAACAGATGTTAATGTTTTATTCAATTTACTTGGAGTCTGTCTATGTACACATGCCTATCTATAAACTGCCCATATAATAACAAGAATAATGGCAATAATGAAAGCTAATACTTATTGAGCATCTTCTGTCTTTTCAAACATTAACTCATTTAATCTTCATATATTTCTGTGAAAGAAATAATATTAAAAAGTAGTATTAAAAAAAAGTAGTAGTATTATTGTAGTATTGTAAAGAAATAGTATTATCCCCATTTTAAAGAAGAGAAAACTGAGATACAGAAAAGCTAAATGACTTTTTTCAGTGTCACATAACTTGGATTTGGTAAATTAAGAAAGTCACACACACACACACACACACAAACTCCCAGACCCACATATACATACTAACACACTTACATAGACACCACACACACATACATTTTATCCAGCTTGGTAATAGTTAGCATTTTACAGTGAAAGATCTAAAAATAAAATAAACCTATTATGAAAACAGAAAATGCACAAAAATTATAAAGAGAAAAGAATAGTCATCTAATCCTACCATTTAAAATAACCACTGTCAACACATGTAAACTATTTTCTTCTACTCAACTGGTGCTAAGTTTTAAAATATTTTTTCAGCAGCTTTTTAGGCCACTGTGTGTTTTCACTCAGTACTAAAGCTAATACATTTTTTCATAATATGTCATGCCCAACATCCTGATTCCCTACTTTTCTATTCTAGTTTTCCCTCAAGAACTGCCCACTTTTCTCTTCCTATTATGCAGAGGAATTTAGCACATGTTCTGACATCTTAGTGTGAGACAGCTCCTAGGCTCCAGGGAGGGAAAAGACAAGAACTCCCAGGCTGCACAAAGCATAGATTAAATAATTTTCCCAAAGGCAGTGTTCTCCCTAAGAGGAATTATGGTGCACATACATCTTCCTGTCTCGTTATTCTGAAAATGAAAAAAAATATGCAATGTAACTGATATGCAACTTAACTGAGATTTATAGTGATAAATTAATTTTAAGTGAGAGTCAACATGTAGTAAGTGGTCAAAAATACATCATGGCACACAGTTCGAAGTCAGTTTCAGTTAAAATGCACAGGAACAACATACATATTCTACTTGCCTCAAGTAGTGTACTGTCTTACTAATGATACAAATACTACTTATAAATTTGTTGTTATTATTTAGTTGCTAGGTCGTGCCCAACCCTTTTGTGACCCCATAGACTGTAGCCCACCAGGCCCCTCTGTCCATGCAATTTTCCAAACAAGAATACTGGAGTGGGAAGGCATTTCCTTCTCCAGGGAATCTTCCCAACTCAGGGATCGAACCTGTATCTCCTGGATTGGCATGCGGATTCTTTACCACTGAACCATCAGGAAGCCCTACTTATAAATTAGCATGTACTAAAATTAATGTAAAGAGAAATGTCCCCAAATGGCAAACCATTTTAAAATTGTTATTTGTGATGACCATCCTTTCCTCCCTTTGCAAAATGTCAGTATAGTTCTTTGGAGATAACATGTTAGGCTTTGGAGTAATAGTTTTTTTGTGATAAGAAGGAGTGTTGGTAGCAGATGTATGGGTGCCATGTGAAATAGTTACAAGAAACTTTCTGAAGAGGGTATGATTTTTTTTACCTGAAAATAACTGAATTTTGATAGTGACCTAAAACACTGCAACATTTTGATGAGCTGGATATGAGTTTAACCAAATCATCATGGTGCTCACATTTGAGACATAGTCCTAAGAAAATCTCTTCACTTAAAGTTTCTGTCTCAGATCTTAGGAAGCAGCTGCAAGTTTGCACGGTTTCAGTGGATCACTCAGCTACTGTCTGGGAATCCAAATGTCCTCAAAGGCACCTTCTGACCCTGGTGACAAGTGTCTTAGTTATATCTACCATATAGATTTAAATAGCAAATTAATTTCATATGTTTGGCTTGTAGCTTGTTTGTTTTATAGTTCCTTTATTATAGCAGGTCTGTACTGTCAAGGCTCCAATGATAAATATGTTTTGTGCCCAGCACAATAATCTCTATTACCAACAAAGACAATAATTTATTTCACACTTCATTACAGCTATCATTTAGTGAATTATTTTCAATGCTCATCTTAATGTATCGGTAGATATTTATAAACACACACAGGGTGTAGGAATACCGTATTTTTTTTTATCAGCAGACTATCTGACATTTCTTAGCTAATGAGAGATTAAATGAGAAATCTGATCACTGCATGGATCATCTCTGCCTGTAAAGTATTGTTGATATTCTCACTTCCAACATCATCTCAAAATGACACCAAAGCTCCAGGAGGGGCATAACATAAATTTACAGACTGTCAGTATCACACTTTTTCTCTCACATACGCAGGCTTAGTTATCTGCAAATTTTCTAAAACTCTTTTATGGTTATGCAGTTCCTGTCCTTAAATTCTGCAATGGTTGCCATTATTTGAATTGAGATGGTGACTGTCACTTTCTTTGGACTAAAATTAAAAACTCTGAACCAAGTGCTAGCCATTCAGAAAATATTAAAACTAATACCTTAATTGCATTGTGTACACATGCACACACACACACACACATATGGGCTTTCTAGGTGGTGCAGTGGTAAAGAATCCCTCTGCCAAACAGGAGATGGAGGTTCAATCCTTGGGTTAGGAAGATCTCCTGGAGGAGGGCATGGCAACCTACTCCAGTATTCTTGTACCACCTGGGAAGTCCTGTCAAGACCATGCCATCCCAGGAATGCAGCCCAGATCCAGGAACACGATCAACTCTACAGAGCCCATCAAGCTCACTCAATCCAAACCAACTACTCATATGAAAGGCAAGCTATTGGAAGCCCTCATTTTAGACACCATAATATTGGGTTCTCAGTGTCATGCAGTCTTATACTGACTTATCAACATCATCTAAATGATGTTTATTATGCACTTGCTGTGTGTCTGACATTGTATTCAACACTAAGGACATACTGATGAATAAAACAGATTCCATCTTTTCTAAAAGTCTTTCTAAATGTTGTTGGCAACACACTGCTGGATGGTAAATACACATTTGGGTAATAAGTCCTCTGCTGGCGTCTGATGCTTGCCCGGAAAGCACATTAGAATATTTTGTATCACAGGATACCTTTCACAAATGTGAAATGTAAATTAATTATGGTTTTCACAGATATATTTTGATGTTACATTTTTAAGGTTTAACGTAAGCTGTAAGGAATAATGTGGTCAATTTATCTTGACTAACATACTCTAAGTGTAGAGTTTGTCCTAACTGTTATAAATAAAATGTTATTCTTTTTATGTGCTAAATTTGATTATTACTATTGTATTGAATTTTATCAAAATGTCATAAAAATGTTTCATAATATATTCACTAAAGTATAAAAGGAATCAATATTCCTTTTATTATTATATAAAATTATTTTGTATTTATTACATATGTTCTTATTTTCAAATTTCAAATAATTGAAAATAAGATTTTTATTGGAGAGTCAATCCATTTTTCTTTAATTCTTCAGAGTGTTATTTATTATGAAGCTATGTCAATGAATCACATAAATTCATTCATAAATGAGTGATGAGATTTCTTGTCATTTTCAAAGTACAGTGACCTTTCTTATATTGCAAGGAGCATTTCCAGAACAGGGCAAAATACTCCTTTCAGTGTGAAAAGGTGTCATTCAACAGTACACAACTAGATGCAAGTCAGGGTATTGCTAAGTTGTACAACCTGCACACTTCATACTAATTTTTTCAGAGAGACAGCAGAATAATCAATTGGCAATATTCTGAAATCTGGCGGCACACTTGGAGATTGTCTCAGTGGCATACAAAGTGGAGGTTTAATTACTATCTATGTACTAGCAGATATTTTTATATTGTAGTTGGATAAAACAATTGGCTTTTCATTTAAATAATGATTATTCTAAAAAACAATATAAACTTGAAATAGCATTTGGTTCCTAATTGACATGGTTTCAGCTATCTGATCAGCAAGGACAGGCATTGTCACATGAACAAAAGAAGCTGCACAAAGATGACAATCCACTTACCACATTAATTAGAGGAAACAGTTGGAAGTCGATAATATGTCTTTGAATTTTGATTCAGTGGTGAAGAAAAGAATTAAAATTGAAAATACAATCAAATTTTGTCTCTAAAGATATGTTTTTTCAGCATGATATACACATCTATGCTACAGAATGCTGATTGTCAAGGAAAGGTACTCATGTAAATATCTGATGGGGGCAAGAAAAGATTTATTAAAAAAATAATTTCTTTAGGTGGTTGATAATGCCAAACAAATAGTCAAGATTCTGTTAACATAACCTACTACTTCAGAATCAAACGATCATAGTTCCAAGCACAAGACTATCAGGATTTCTAAGAACTGTACTGTCATCAAAATGATTTCATTGTCAAGAAATTGACTTTTTACTACCCTCATTGGAAGACAGTCAATCATGTATTACTTGACATGTTTTGGAATATCATCAAATTTCCTCAACAGAACATAAATGTGTCCCAGCGCTGAGAGCCTGATTTAAAAGCAGTTACTATTATCATGCCTATTTGTGCTCAGTTGCTCAGCCATACCTGGCTCTTTGTGACCCCATGGACAGTAGCCTGCCAGGCTCCTCTGTTCATGGGAGTTTTCAGGCATAGATACTGGAGTAGATTGCCATTTCCTCCTCCAGGGGGTCTTCCTGACCCAGGGATTTAACCCATGTCTCCTGTGTCTCCTGAATTGGCCGGCAGATTCAATACCACTCAGCCATTTGGGAAGCTGATGTCATATGGAGTACATTTTCAGAAGTGGGAACTTAGGTAGTAAAGATCTCTGATGACCCTCTGTAGGTGGCATACTTTAGAATTGTGGGTCTGTAGTTACTGAAGTACACAGATGCAGAACGGATGGGCTGTATGCAGAAATATGTAAATAAGTAATGCTTAATTTCCTTTTCAGAGTCCAAAAACTTACTTGATGTTAACCACAAATGAGAGCACTACTTCATAACTTATAAAAAGCCTTTTAAAAATCCTAATTATGTACACTTTTTAAGAAATGCCAAATGGTGATGATTTGGAAAGAGCTAGAAAGAAACCAAACCTCGACAAAGGGGCATGTGCTTCCCTAAGTCCAAATTGACTGCACATGTACTTATTTAGCTTTCATTACAAAATAGTCTCATTTCCTTATTCATAAAATATGGAGCATTCTGATGTTGGGTTTTTTTTTTCTTCTTTCGACACTGAGAATAAAACATTAACTTTGTCTTAAGAAAGTCATAGATATATACCAACCTTAACTCTGATGCTAATTAATGCTATCAAAAGACCTAGCAGGAGTTTCTGCAGCCTTTTTATCTCTGCATGATAAGTGGCTTCAAATAGCTCCCATCTCCCCTTACCAGTTGGATGTCATCTAAAAACTGAATAATAGCGGCAACTATTCTTAGGAAAAATACTGCACCCACTTTCTCTAGAATATAAAGTAAAAGAAAATGGGTAGCCACATAATTATCTAATGACCAGGTTTTTTTCTAAGGTAGTTGTAAGGTCAAGATTAGCTGGGAAAGTAACACCAGAATATTTTTCTGCTTTGACAGTAAGCAAAAAACAAAAACCTCTTTACTTGAAACTCTTTCATGTAATTATTTCCATACTCTTTTTTTCTATGCACACACCACCCACACTCACACATAATTCTTGCCCACTGTTTTACTTTTAGAAAGAAATGTTCTCTGCCTTCCTTGGCTGTGTATATTAGCAATGTCTGAAATGCTACAAAGTGAATTAGTTTTAGGATTATATTGCACTACACTACAGGAAAACATGATATAGGGTTTTTGGTAAAACATCTCCAGGATCTTTGCAATAAAATTCCTTTAAGAGGATAAGCCAAAGCTTACGTGTCACTGTCACATTCTATATGACACTTTACGTTGAATATTTTTAGAGGATATACTTAACTTTGTGCAGATACATAAATGACCCTTATGTTTTCCAACTGTACTTAAAAAATCATTTCTTTTGAATGCAAATCCCATCATTTCCAAAGTCTTTTATTTTTCTGTTCTGCTATTAAGAATCAATTTATCCTATAATTACTTGATTTCTAGTTTTAGTAAGTTGACGAGGAATATCTTTTTACTCTAAGAATTATAGAATAGATTGCATGGTTTTGTGAGCTAAAATTTTTAGAAATGAAGTTGAAAACATACAAAATAATTCCACATGTTCCACAATATTCCAAATAAGAACTAAAGTGAAAAACTTCTGACCAACTCTAGCAATCAAAGAATATTTAATCCACTATAATTTTCAATAGGATCTAGGGGAAAAAGTCACTGGTATATGATTTCATTATCATCACAAATCAAAAATATAGTACCATGGTTTGAAATAGCAGAGTTTTTTTTTAATAGAAAGTTATAATAGCTATTGAATAAATAATCAGTATTTGGAAAAATATTTTAACTGATCTTTTCCCCTCCTTTCTCACAAGCTAAATTGTTTGCTATTTCTGAGAGTAATACCATTGTACTTGTTGGATAATTTACAGTAAACACATATCCTCTTAATCACATCACAGAAACTTAAATAGATTTGTAAAACCATTAAAAAATCAATACTTAGCTTTTAGGTGATGAATTAATTAATGGAGTGTGAATGCTTGAAGTCTGCATTACCCAGCATGCACTATGGCTTTTCATAATATCACTGTCAATGGGAACAGTATGCAAAGTAATGTAATGTAACTAGTGGGGAAGTGCTGATAAAAATATATCAATCTCTGCTACCCAATATTGCTACCCAATATTCCAGTAAAAACTTCCTTTTGGTATGAAATGCAATTCAATATTTTTCTGTTATGTATAATGATGGAAGAAAGAAGCACTGTTGACAAATGAAATCCAGAGAAAAAATAATCAGAAATGTTCCAACTCTTTTTAATTATTCAGGAAATAGATGATGATACATGTAATGGTAAGATATAAAATTATGGAGGTCTGTATAAATTGGGGAATGAGACTTTACTTGTTTCCTCCATTAAAGTTTTTAAAAAGCCTTTTTCTGAAAAATAGATCACATTTTCCTATTTTCATGTGCATTTATTCTATCCTAACCCTCTTCCAGTGCTTCTTTCCACTTCTTTTAAAGCTTCTTGCTCAAAGACACCAACTAAGGGACTTCCTTGGAGGTCTAGTGGTTGACTCTAAGCTTCCAGTGCCTTCACTGCAGGGGGCGCTGGTTTGATCCCTGGTCAGGGAACTAAGATCCCATATGCTGTGCAATGGACAGCCAAAAAAAAAAAAAAGATACCAATTAAGATTTCTACAGAAAAGTGTAGTCATATATTGGATACTGGTTGCTGCCTTCAATAACTTACATTCTAGTTGCATAACATTATAAAGTAGATCAATATTAACAACAAAGGAGTAATGGAAATGGAGGAAGTTGTATGTTTAAGGTGGCAAAACACATAATTTTGGTGACAATTTTTAAGAACAATAAGTTGCAAACATAAAATTGAATATGAGGGTTTTTTACTTTTGCTATTATTTCAGCCAGACCTAGGTTGTCACTGAGAACAACCATTCAAGCTGAGAAAGTTTTCTTTAAAAGTGATCTGTTAAAAGAAACTAGGAAACTGTTGTGGCAACCGAGACTTAAGGGCAAACAATTTCTGACAATAGGAAACCATATAGAGAAGAAAGAATTCACCTTTAACTTCAGAACTTTTGTCAATTCTGGACATAGGAGAAAAGATTTAGTTAGGGTCCAAAGTGTTGGACAGAGAACTCCTACTAAAAGGCAGAATAATAAGTAGAGATGTTGGCAATCTTGCAGGAACAGAGACCAAAATTACAGCCTCACAGACCCTAATGAAGTTAAAAATCAGTAACGAAAATAACAAAAAGTACTCAACTTTTAGCAAACTAAGCTTTACATTTCTAAATAATATGTTGGTCAAATAAGATATCAAAGGGAAATTTAAAAGAAATATTTTTGTGTGATCATGAAAATTAGACATCAGATGATTAGGATGCAACTAAAGCTGAGTTAAGAAGAAAATGTACAGTCTTCTATTCATCTATTAGAAAATTTGAAAGGCTGGAAATTGATGATTGTACTATTTTAAGAAATTAGAAAAAACAGTAAATGAATATCAAAGAAATAAAAGAAAAATATATAATAGCAGAAATAGAGAAATCAAGTACCCCTCTTATTTATAAGCTATGTTATTATAAGTATTCAGAAATTCAATATTGTTTTTATTATCCATACAAAGTAGTGGTTATTACTGTTTTATGCAACTGATGTTTGTTTACATTCACCCAGACATTTAACATTTTCTTTCTTCACCATTTCTTTTGACATACTTTTTTCTTCTTACATGGGCCTTCAGATGGAATATTTGTGAGGGACCGTTTTTGGCATAAAATCCTCTGTCTTTACTTTGCCATAACATTTGAAAGATAGTTTAACT